CCACGGGCAGCGCAGACCTGTTCCCTGCTCTGGGCTCAACCCAGCAGCAAGCCCTTCCCACAGGCCTGATGTAAAACTCCGCAAAAGTTACTGCTATTTTTAATCTTGGTTTTGGTGGGCTTTGACCCACGCTGCGGGTAAACCGGGGTGGAGAGCGCGCGCGCTGCTCCGCTGTTGTCTCGGGTTTTTGCTTCCCTTCACATCTCTCCTCGCGTGGGTGCTTGTCTGTTTATAGCGGTGACAAGAAGAATTAAGGGCTTTACTGTAACGTGTCCGTGGTTGTCCCCGGGTGCAAAGTCTGTAGGTGACCTTCCTTGGGGGGTGGGTAATGCAGCTGGCCATCTCTGAGAGTCGCTGGGCCCTGGGGGCTTCACTGGAGTGAGAGCTGCAGTCACAGAGCAGCTGTGGGCTCCATGCTGTGGGTGTGCCCTCTCAAAAGGGCTTGGTTCACGATTTCATCCATGTTTTGGACAAAAAAAAAGCAAACTTTTTTGTTTGGATAATTCCACAGCCCTTGTTTACAATAATAAATAATTAAGCAATAACTAAATGGGAAAGCGGCATCAGGGGGATGTGCTTTGCTGTCCCCAAGCGCTGTCTTGGTGGCCAGGCCAGGGCTCTGTCTGCAGAGCTCACCGGCAGGTCCCTGTGGACCATGTCCCTTCCTTGGGACCTGGGATCCCTGTGCTGGGTCTGCCAGGTCCCCCCACCCCCGGGTGGCACACAGACCTTGGAAAAGAGGAGACTATTTCACTGGCATCTTGGTTTGTGGCTAGTCAGTAGGAGGCGTTACAAGGAAACCGGGCTTCTAGACTTACCTGGTGTTGGCAATAATTCTTTGTCTAGACTTGTGAAGCACTTTGAGATCTATGGACACAAAGGTCTGTGTGAGGAGCTGGTGTTTGCTATCGCAACATTTGAGCGCAATGACTTCCTCTACCTTGGGAAAGTTGCCTGGGCTGGTTTGCATTCCCTTCCCACCCGCTCCCTCCCAGTCCCTTCTGCTGGGTGGAGAAGAAACTTTAACTGTGGCTGAGGTTCTCTGCTTTCCATTTTGCCTCCAGACTAATCACTGGAGCCTCATCTAGGGGAATATTATTAAGCAGGCTGGTTCCTCTATTGTCAAGAGTGTAAATCTGGAAAAACCTGAAAAAAATATCCTTCTTGGTAAATAGCAAATTGAAAGCTTTGCCCTGGGAAGAGCGAGCAGATGACTACAGCAACTTTCCAGTTGCTGAGGGTCTTTCCATTATAGGCTGATATACTGATGTCTGGAGCCTGTGGGCAGGGTTAGTGCCACAGCCCTTGCTGCCAGCTTCCTGCGGCATAGGGCCATATTCTGGCAACAGGCCTGAATTTCAGGTTGATTCAGCAGCTTAGCGAATGTTATAACTCAGAGTTACTGTATCCCTCGCAGCTCCTGCTCCTGCACAGCTGCTCAGTGCTCCCTTCCGCTGCAGAGGGTTTCCCAGGCTGTGGTTGGAGGGTAGACCTTCTCCTCAACTGGCTGCGAGGGAGCTGGGCGCTGCCATGGCAGGATGCACCTCCTTCTTGCTGCAAAGAAATGTGCTGAGAGCTGCCAATGGGCCCAGAAAGCCCTGTCTCCATTAAGATTGTATCATTTGGGCTCGAGGCTGCTCTGAGCCTCCAGCTGCACAGTGTAGCTTCTGTAAGAACCCAACCAAGTGCAGTGAGATGGTGTCAGTGCTCATCAACTGCAAAGACTCTGAGGAAACTCTCCCTGTCTGTGTTTTGGGGGAAGGAGGTGCTCACAAGATGCCACCCTAGCTCTGCTTTCTGGTCCGGGGGGCATCTGCATGCGTCAGAGGTGATTTGGATGTGAATCATGGCAAGATGGCAGAGGTTGAGGCTCGGTGATCCTCTTGGCACATCCGGGGGTGCAGTGAGCCAGTGGGACGGCAATTCTATCCCCTCTTCCTCGCTAACATCCATTAGCATATGGACAGAATTGCTTCTGAAGAAGTCCCTGCTCCAAGTCAGCTTCCAGCTTCTCAGAAGCTCTCATCAGCCCAGCGGTGCTGCAGCAGCCCATGAGCTGCTGCTGGGTGCCAGCCATGATCTGTGGGGAGCCAACAGCATCCAGCAGGTGCAAGGATGGTGAGGCTGATATTGGAGAAGTCACTAGACATAGAAGTCACCACGATGCCTTCCTTACCACTGGTGCCTAGGTGACTTGTCACAACAGCATCCGAGTGTCTCAGTGTTGGTGATCTTTACCTTGTGGTTCTCCTGAGAGCTGAGACCTGGGGAAGTCAAGACACAGAGCAGAAAGTCCCTTGCCCAGGAGGTCTGTGGTGGCCCTGGGCACTGCCTCCTCCCCAGCACAGTGCTTACCTTTGCTGCTGGGGTGGCCTAGCTTTAGCAGCTGCCTGGGGAGCTGGTGGCAGGAAGGAGGGATGGTTTGTAGGTATCCGTTATTGTCTGGGCCATTGCCAAGGATAGGTATGTAAATGTTCAAAATGACCATGAGGTGTCTGCTTTATCCTGGACACTTGCTCTGGCTCGCAAATGCCGGGATCATGCCCTGTGGGGGCAGAGAGGCTCTGGGAGGGAGGAGGCCATCCCATATCTCATGGCAGGATCTCTTCCATCTCCGGTGAGCTGGTCCTGCTCTTTGCTCAAGAAGAACTGATCCCAGCCCATTAGCAGGGGTCCTGTTTTAGCCACTACATTGCCAGCTCAAGTGGACAGAGCTCAGTTGCTTGACAAGGGAGTGCCTTCTTATCACAGCTTTGGTTCAGCTCAGCTCAACCTGGCACTTCCAAGTAACAGCAGCAAAAACCTTTTTAACATGTTTCTACCCTGCAGCTCTTCCCAGAGGTGCTTCTGGATTTACTTTGGGATTCTGCCTGTTGAAGCTACCCTTGGTTTTGGGGCTGTTCCTCAGCTTCCCAAGCAGGATGTGCTACAGTCTGCTAGGAGAACATGTGTGTGGTTGCACCGGTCTTGCTGGGTTCCTCCCAGGTAGATATGGGTGTATGAAACCAAAGACAGTTGGCAAAACAGATGGATGAGTGATATCAAAGACGTTGTGTTTCCTGATGTGCTGGAGACCTGTCTACGCTGGAGCATTTTCTGGTAGAAGCAGGATGCCGTGATGGACCAGAAGGAGGATTTTTCCCATGCCTTGGTGGCTTCTTTCTGCAGTGACACAAAGTGAGAGGTTGAGCGAGGTGCTTGTGTAGCACTGGCTGCTGCCCACTGAGCCCGAGTCCATCTCCCGTTGCAGAACCAGCGCAAACGTGGCAGTGCAGGCAGTCCCAGCAACTCCCCCAGACCTCGTTGCCTTCAAGGTAAAGGATGGCTCCTGTGGCCACGGCTGCCCTCTCTTGCCCCATATCGCTCTTCCATCGTATGTATCCATATGCTCAGCTGTGGAGCAAGCAGGCAGCAATGTGCCAGCCCAGGCAACACTACATGTCCTTGTCCCAGCACTCGCAGCCCTCTGTGCCCATGCAGCAGGGAACACGCTAGACCTGTGCCAGGCAGTTCTGGCGCCTGGGAGCCAGCGTGTGCCCAGCCTGTGGGACAGGGATGTGGTGATGGGTGGGCGTGCCTGGCAGATACGTGGGGAGCGGTCCCAAGGAAGAGATGTTTTTCCCAGCTTCCTCACCGCCTGCCTTTGCTTGCCTACCTCCCTGCTGCTCTTGTTTGAAAGCCAGGTTGGGAAAGAAATTCTCGAGGAAAGCTGTGCACGGAGAGCGGGGTTGAGCTGCAAAATGAGGGGGTGAGCACAAGGCAGGGTCTGCTGGGGACTGGCAAGGAGCTTGTGGCAAGAAGGGAGGTGCAGCAGGCTTGCTGCCTGGGCACGTCTGGGGAGGGTGCTGGCTGCACCCTTGGCTACCCTGGCACCATGGTTCAGGGCGGCAGGGCAGTGCTCTGTCAGCTCGGCCAGAAGCAGGGATCTGAGCTGGCTTGGCGTGGCCGCAGGGCTGTGTTTCTGGCAAGTTCGCCAAGGCGGGCGGTGCAGGGCTTGTACTGACTTTTCTGCAGGTGCCCAGCCAATACCTGCTTCATTGTACAGGCAGCACAGGCAGGAGGTATCTGATCCAGCCTAAAACCTGCCAGTATGAACTTCATCTGCAAAAATACATTTATGCATGGATTTGCACCAGCATCATGTGTTTGTAGTAGATCTGTTTTTTTCCAAGAGAGAATGTTGGGATTTTAATAAAATTTTGGAAAACCTACAGCCTGATTTACTCTATGGTTAGACCACAGGGTCTGGGGGGGAACATCTGCATGGCCAAGCCCATCACCAAGCAGGAGCTGCCTTCAAGAGGAGTCCAGTTCCTGGCAGAGCCTGTGCCACCTGAGTGGAAGCCAGGGGTCCCACGAGGACAGGACAAGGGTAGATAATATGATTAATGGTTTAATTGCCTGTGATGGGACTGAAACAGCATTGCCTGGAAGCTGCCTGCTTTTTGCAGAAGATGACCACTGAGATCTGTTGCCAGCCTGGTGCAGCCAAGTAAGCTGTTGATGAAGCCTGCCGTGCCCATACAAAGATGCAAGCAGGCGCTCGGGCCAGTGCTTTGCTCAGCTGCTCCCTGCCATGTCCGTTTGTAAGACCACCCTGCAGATAGTCTCATAGAAGTGGCTGTGGGGTGGCTTTTGTTGCAAGCGGCTGGTGGCCTCATGCTTTCCTCCATTACAGGTGGTGATGCTAAGGCTGCTGGGCAGTCCCAGGGAGACAGCAGCCATCCGGTGGCTGCGGACACTCGGAGGCATCAGAGGGGACGTGCAGAACACCGGAGACACACCATCACCAGTGGCGTGGACTTCAGCATGGTAAGGTGACAGCCCTGCCACGGGCTGCAGCGAAGGGGCCCGTGGTACCTGGGGGAAGGTGGATTGCAGGGGTCCCTCACCGCTGACACCAGCTCTGTTTGGGCTGTGCTCCCCCCTGCCCCACCCTGCATGTGTGAGCTGTGGGGTGTTGGGTAGATCCTGATATTTTGGATACAAATCTCTGCTGATGTACGTGGAGGTCCTGCCATTACTTGTTGCTTTTTGTCCCAAATCATGCCAGGGAGCACGCACGTGTTGCCCCCATAGAGCCAGCATTTGACTGCACAGGTGCCTTCCCCATGGGCAAAACCTTGTGCAGGGAAAGGCAAATGTGTAGGTGTAGGAGCAGGTGGGTCTCTGGGCCTTTCAAGCACTCCAGCGAAGGTCGGGTATGCTCTGCGCTGGCAAGCGGTGGTGCCAGGCTGTGTCTCCTACCAGAAGTTCTCTGTAGGTCAGGGCTCAAGCATGCTGATCCTCCTGGCTCCTGAGGGACTTTTTGCCAGTAATGCAGAGAAATCAGCGTTGAATTTAGGTGGGCAGCCCAGGATGGAGGGATCTGCTCCCCTCTCTCCTTCCCTGAGTGGAGAGGCTTGGATCAGATTGCCTGGATGAAGGGATCCCCACAGCTCCCAAGTGGAATGGAGGAGCTGCCTGGGCATGTTGCCCACAAGCTCACGCTAAATTTTCCTGGGAAGAGAGCCAGGACCCAGCCTGCAGGATGAGCAATTGGCAGGACTGAACTCTGGCTGATGTCTGAACTGCTGCCAAGGCTGCGACTGTCACCTCTGCAGTTCCACTCCTTGCACCCTGGTGTCACCCTGCTCCTCGAGCCCAGCGGAGCTGACTCGCGCGTGGCAGCATCGATTATAGCCCGGCACAGGCCTCGGGGGACATAACGTGCTCCGATGCCTGGCCTGGCAGGGGCATTTGTGCACACATGGTTTGCTGGGCTTGCAGCCGTGCAAGGGGTTGGGGTCCTCTTGGGCTGAGGGGGTCTCTGCTGAGAGGCGCTGGCAAGGAGTAATAAATGTAGATGTGTGCATCTGGGGATGAGTGTCTCTGGTCTTCAGGGTTTTAGTGGCTGGGAGTTGCTGTTTTGGAGATGGGAAGGTCCCCCCTTCTCTGGTGAAGCTTTTTCCTGTGCATGCAGCTCCAGGCTGGAGCCCGTCACTGCCATGAGCTCAAGGTCCTGCCTGCTGGCCAGCATGTCTCGCTCAGAGCTGGCATTTGTTCCCAGCTCTGCTAGAAGTGCTCTGGCTCCAGGCTTGTGTTGCCTTTGCCTGTATTTCCCCAGGTTGTTTTGGGGGCAGTGGGAGGAAGGTCCTTTGTCTTTCTTCCCCCCTGCCCATGTACCAGAGTGCTGCACTGCCTTTCGTGTGCTCTTCCCCACAGAGAAGGGGTGTCTGTCCCTGTCCCCCAGGTGAGAAGCCTTTCCTGGCACCATGGCCAGAGCCTTTGGGTACTAATCCCACTTCTGAGCGTACAGAGACAGTTGGAACATACTCGCGTCCAGCAAGGATGAACCCCTGTGCAGGGCAGTGCTGTCATCTCCCACTTGATGCTGGGAGGATGTTGGGGCCCTGCAGACACAAGGCACTCAGCTGTGATTAGGTTAATTTGCCTAAAGCCCGGGCAGGGGACGGGAGCGCTGGGATCCATCCGGCATCCTGGGCTACACTAGGACCAGTTCATCCTGAGCAGTGAAGCGAGGTGTGGGGGCTGTGCTGCAGCCCCAGGACCCTTTGTACCACCACAGCTGGTATCCGCTCAGCTGGTGTTTTTCAGCCAGTTCATCATTGATCGGCCTGATTTCCCCATGGCCACAGGGGGTAGCTGGGATGAGACCTTCTGTGAGAGGCCGAGCGCTTTCATTTGTAGGTAGCCCAGGGTACAGCACTGTCCCCTCCCCTCCTAACCCAGTTAGCACCAGCCAAGTCCAGCGCTCTTGTCTTCCTCCTGCCCCAGAAGCTGCCTCTGCCCCCAGAGCATCCCACCCTTAGCAAGATGCCATCTGTCCCCACACCCGGCAGAGCTGGTGATGTCCCACTTCTTGGTGGGATGCTGCCTTTTCCTCCGGTCACCATGCTGACCAGCAAGCCTGGTGGGACCAGGGCAGGCCAGGCAGTCATGGGCTGCAGCCCGAGCTGGGTGGGGGTCTTTGCCACGTACAGCACCTTCTTCATGCCTCTCAGCAACAGTCTGCGTAGCACCAAGGCTCTGCACTTCTTCCTGTGGGTATGTCCTCTTTGGTACGTCTGTCCATCCAGGCTGGGGGTGGGGGGGCTCTTGTGTTGCAAACAGCATTTCCAGGAGCGACAGGAACAAGAGCAGCACTGGCATGAAGAGTGGCTGGTGTGGGGCGGTTGGGAGGCTTTGGGGCTAGCAGTGGGGACGGGGAAGTGCTGTCAGCCTGAAGAAGGTCTTGGTATGGTGTCACTTGTCCCTGGGAGTGGGGATCTGTTCAGGGTCACTTCTGAGCTGAATCATTCCCCTCCAGATGTTCTCCAAAGCAGTAGGAGAGGTTCCTGAGCATCCAGCATCTTCTGGATGATCGAAGTCCCACTGTTTCCTGGGGGAGACTCTCCTGGAGCCCAGTCTGTGCCGTGGGTGTTGGAGGCCTGGGTGTCTTGTGGCAGAGAGGGCAGAGGCAGCAAGGCAGGCAGCTCCCCAAGCTCTTGGCATAGAGACGGGGGGCAGGAGCTGGGGGAGCAGGGGAGAGGGAGCCCTGGGCTCACTGGGTGAGGGCTGATGAAAGTGTTGCTGCACTCATCACTCTGTTCCCCAGGGAAGTCCCTTCTTTTCTCACCACCTCTGCGATTGCCAGTGGCAGTGCAGAGCCGAGGAGCTGCAGAAGAAGAAGATCGTAGCAGAGCAGGGGACCCCGTGTCCCCTGGGGCACAGACCACTGCTCCAGCCCTGCTGTCGATAGAGGGGCTGAGCTGTCTGCCCTGCAGCAGCCTTGGCTGAGCCGTGACCCGGTGCAGGGTACTGGTCTGCTTGTCCCAGGGGGCTGGTCTGGGGGCAGGAGCCCTGGGCACCCTGGTAGCAGTCCTCCAGGCACATAAACATCCCCACATCCCTCTTGGGGTGACGCTGGTGCTTGAACCTGCAAGACTGGCAGAGACACTCAGCAGAGGTATGCTGTGCTCTGCTCAGCTCGGAGCTGCCTCGGGGGAAAAGCAGAAGGGGGAGCAGAGCAGAGCGCTGGGGGAACAGAGCTGCATGTTTTCCCCCGGCTTCCAGTCTGTACGTTCAGCTCTTCCACTTGCTGCTCACCGAAAGTCATGTGTGTTTGTGCTGCTGGCAGCCGCTCGCAGCCTGGGGGGGATTTGGGGGGCGGCTGCAGGCCATGCTCTTACTGCATCGATGGATAAATATGAGGCAGAGAAACCTGCTTCTGCAGTGGGGATCAGGAGGTGGCCTGGCTGTCCTTCACCTGCTTCTGTTGCTCTCCCAAACCAGAGAACTCCTCCCCCAAAGAAGCATCAGGCAGCAGCCATCATCCCGCTCCTCTGTGGCTTTCCATGGGGAGAGGGGCTGAGACCCCTGCCCATACCCATATCCCTCCACGCCTTGTGAAAAAAACAGCTCCTGGGGCTTGACAAGGCCTTGGTGGAGAGGGGGTGACATCTCTGCATGCTCTGTCCTGCAGCTGAAGCACATGAAGGAGCTAGAACAGGAGAAGGATTTCCTGCTGCAGGGTCTGGAGCTGGTAGAGCGCGCCCGGGAGTGGTACCACCAGCACATCCAGTTCATGCAGGAACGCCAGAGGCTCCTGGGGAAGAATAAAACCAGTGCCGTGAGTCTGGAGCTTGTTCTTGAGCTGCCCATCTGCTTGGGAGGGTCTGGGGCTGCTCTGTGGTTTTGGAGAACCAGGCTGGGAACTGGCTGGACCTGGAGCTGGCCCCACGGTAACCCCCAGCCTCTTCTTCCTCCCCGTCCCCTAGGACTTCCTCCCTGAGGGCAGCCAGAGCCACCTGGGGCGCCTGGTCCCCAAGCTGCAGGAGGTGAACCGCTGCCTGGGTGACCTCCTTTCCACCACTGGCAAGGTGAGAGCAGCAGATTAGCAGCATGTGGTTGGTTGTGTGAGCTTGGGACCCATCCCATCCCCCGCCTTATGCTAGTGGCTGGGGGGCGCCTGGGGCTGCCACCGTCCAC